GTAGGTACTTAGGAGCGGTACTTACTTTGGATATTATGTATCCTTATGTAGGCTTCACATAGCTATTATAATGTAGTGCTAACTTAGGAACCCATGTTCTTTTAAAATTCTATATGATTGTGGTAATAAAGGTCCTTCTGTCCTTGCTAAAATATGTGTATATTGATCTCAATCTTTAATTCTCCTCTTGCATATTTTAATATCATGATTAAATGTATTATGCTAACATAAGTAGTTTTGCAAACTATTTTGAAGTGTGACCACTTGCGAGATACTTAGAGTCCAGTTATTTGTATGTTTCTTCATAGGACCAGCCAAGTTTCCTTCTAGGGATTGTGTAGAAGCTGGCATTATAGGGTGAAACTTTCTCTGTAGAAGGTGATTGCATGACTTCCAAGACCTGCTGGAAAGTTTTGATTAAGGAAGTTTTCCTTTAATTCATGGAATTGATTTAAGTCAAGGAGGACTTAAATTCTCCACCAGCTTCAACAAAGGGAAGAGCTTTGTCTAAGAAGAGTTGAGAAAAGCGGTAGGCTACTTGTTTAAAACAGATGTTGGTTAATAAAAAAACAGATGTTGGATCAAAGAATAGGGTTTTCAACCTGTAACATATTGTATACAAGTTTGAACACAATGGTGCAATACAAGGTGAAAATTGATGTAAGAACTGGAAGGGACATCACAGGAGCAATATTATTAAGAGTTGTTAATGGAATGAAATCTGCAAGAGAAGAGTTATGAGCCTTAGAGAAGGAGGTAGAAAATCCTTATTTATGAAAAGGAAGCATGAAAAAATTTAAGAATCAAACTAAAGTAAAAGTTAACAGAGATTTAGAAGCAACTGTCAGTAGTAGTATTGCTTTAAAAGAGAGAGAGGCTAGTGAGTGTTGACCTACACAGTACATTCTCAGTGTGATAAGTTCCTCTGCCTCTCTATCTGCCTATCAGTGCTTTGCTCTCTCTCCATTTCTCTCCTTTTTCTCCTTTTCCTCTTCCTTCTCTCTCCCTCCCACAGTTGTGCCGCAGCTGCATTTTAATCCTTCGTATACAAACCATTAAGCACACATCTGAGGTATAAATCATAAACTGACTGAATAGCACAATTATGCACCAGGTTTATTTCCATATTCTTCATGTTCATATAGACTCATACATTTATAAATGAATAGGTACATGGTATCTTTACATTTTTGTAAGAGTATCTTGTCATGTATAGTTTTGTCTATACATGTTCTTATTCACTAGTAATTTGTGGAAATTTCTCTAAGGGAGCTGGCATAATTTGTAATTAGCTCTTCAAAAGATGGTTTCTACTTTTAATAGATAGTGCAATCTTCAATGATTTCTTTATTGTCACCTTAAATTATAAACTTTAGAACTACTATTAAAACAGCACAAAAAATACTTTACAGGAGCTCACATTCTGAGGCATTAATTTTCATTAAGGAGATCACGAAGAATGCAATTGTAATGAATGGTATGTGGTTTTTTACTTCAGCAGAAATTCTCAAGTTGCGCTCCAACATTAGAAAATTTAAAGTGAAGAAAATACCCTTTTTGAATTTGACCAATCGGCTTTAAAGATCTATTACATTTCAAGTCTGATGTTATTGAAATGATATTTGCAAGTTTTCATTGTCATTTTTTCCCTAGAGGTGAATGGCAGCCACCTATGTCTATATGCCATGTAGATATACTTTTTATTTCATTGTCTGTTTCTATCATCTGCTCACTTTGTCATTGGTTTGTATTTTTTATTAATTTCTTTAAAACTTCTGTATATTTTAAATAGTAACTCTCTATATTCTCTAAGATGCAATTCCATTCTCCAAATCCTTTTTCTATTTATTTAGGGGATGAATCTCTAACTGCTAAGAAAGCAAATTAAAACAGCAATGTGAAAGCCTGGAGATTTTTTTTTTCTCTCTAGGTGACTGACTCTCCTTAGGCACACTACAGCCTTTGGACTGGCATCAAGTATGAAAAGGTCCTTTAAAGACATCTCCATATACAGCTTCTCTAACATCAGTGGAATGTCCATTTCTGACAAAATAAAACAAAGAAAAGATATAAATAAAAGACTTTTTTGTTGTGAAAAATATGTGTATATACAAGAGAGGATAGATACACAGCTACTTTCTCTTAATTCAAGGAGAAGAAAGGTTGGTACTAATGTCTTTTAGGCAAGGTATTGTGTCTGCATCTTGGCCTCTGCTTAACCACTATGAAGACAAGAATATGAAATGTATTAATTATCACAACTGTCCTACTAACCTGTTTTGAAACTGTTTCATTGCTATTTTATCTTTTTATCTCATTAAAGTCAATAAATAATTTAAAGATTAAAAAAACAACCAGGTGTTTCTTAGAAGAACATATTCACTGAAAATCTTTTTCTGTCACAGGAATGTAGAAAGACATCCCCCCATTATTACCTTGAAGTAAATATAAGGTATGTCTTGCTGGTTTTTACATTGTATATATTTGATCCTTACTTTGGCCTGTACAGTCAATTATATATTCAAGCATTGTACTTCCCTAATGGAAAGCTAGCTGAGACAGACTAAATTTTCTTTCATAAATAATCCTCTCCACATTTCCAATTCTTTATTTCTGAAAACATTCTTTACAATATAACACCTTACTTCCATCAAACTTCAATTATATGGTATCAGACAGGACTGGAATATAATAAATGATGGTGCCTATAACTGGAATGAGTAAATATATCATATTAAATTTCTGAAGTTTTGCTAATAATTACATTTACAGATAATTTTTTCCTGGGCAAAGAAAGAAAAAAGAATATAACAAATGGAACAAAGAAACAATGTGACAGACTTTGTGCTCCTGGGACTCACTCAGAGCCTCCAGGGTCAGAAAATATTATTTGTTCTGTTCTTGCTGATCTACATATTAACAATTACAGGAAACTTTCTCATTGTCCTGACTGTGTTACTCAGCCCAGCATTGGATGCCCCAATGTTCACCTTTCTTGGTTACTTATCATTTATGGATGCCATTTATACCACTACAATCACCCCAAAAATGATTAAAGACTTACTCTTTGAGAAAAGAATCATTTCCTTCAAAGATTGCATGACACAACTTTTCTTAGAGCACTTATTTGGAGGCGTTGACATAATACTTCTGGTTGTCATGGCCTATGACCGCTATGTGGCCATCTTTAAACCCTTGCACTATCTGACCATCATGAATCAAAAGCGCTGTGCTCTTCTGCTGCTCTTGACCTGGGTTGGGGGTCTTCTTCATGCTGCCCCACATGTTTTTTTTGTTTACAATCTTCCTTTCTGTGGCTCCAATGTCATTGACCACTTTTTCTGTGACATGTACCCCTTAATAAAACTTGCCTGCACAGACACCTATGTAGTTAGTCTCACTGTGCTGGCAGATGATGGGGTGATCTCTGTGGCCATCTTTACAATATTGCTAGTCTCCTATGGGGTCATTCTGCACTCTCTGAAGAACCTAAGTCAGGAAGGGAGGCGCAAGGCCTTATCCACCTGTGGCTCCCACATCATGGTTGTAGTCTTGTTCTTTGTTCCTTGCATTTTTATTTATGTACGACCACCTTGTATCTTACCCATAGATAAATCTATGGCTGTATTTTACACTGTTATCACCCCTATGTTGAATCCACTTATCTATACCTTAAGAAATGAAGAAATGAAAAGTGCCATGAGGAAGCTCTGGACTAGGAAACAAAATTAAGCTTGTTTCTCTTACGTTCAATGAAGAGTTGGTTCATCCAGGAAAGTCATGAATGATTACTTCAGTATGATGAAATTTCCATCAAGTCTGCTAACTGAATGACAGAAAAATGTATTATTGGATACCTTGTAGCAACCCACATGCATATTTTATACTATTAGAATTTGTGAAGAAAATATATTTTATTGAAATGTTTTAGGTGATACTATTAATTTATGTGCCATGACTAATGTCATAAATTTATTTTACTTGGGGGCAGGGAGATGGCGCAGTGGAATAAGTGCTTCCCTGGCAATCACAAGGGCCTGAGTTTAATCCCTGGTTCCACAAAAACAACAACAACAACAACAAAAAAAAAAAAACCTGAAAAAAATAAATAAATGAATAAATTTATTCTACTTCATGGGAGATTTTTCATGGTTATTACAAAGTGTTATTCTTTTTCATAATTATATTATAAAACCAAAGTACAAATAAAAATCAGAATGGAAAATAAATGTTAACAAATAGCCTGAGAAGTGATTATCAAACAGGAGAGTGATCGAGACTTGGAAGGAGGGATGCTTTAGTGGATGAAGATAAGAATGGCAACCCATCAATTTCACTCAAGAAATGTATGCACTATGTACAACAAACTCGAACTAATAAAGATTTTAAAAGCATAAAAAAGAAATATCTATTGTTTATGATACATTTTGCAAGAATAAAATCATTCATAAGTGTACATTTTATTCTGCTTTGTTTAATGTATTATTTTTATATTATTTTGTTTAATGTAGGCCTACAGGGTCTCACTATGTAGATCAGACTCGTGGTGATTCTCCTGTTTTCAGTCTCCCAAGTGCTGGGATTACAGGGGTGCACCACCGTGCCTGGTCTCAGTCACCATCAGTGCTGACATGGCACTCTGGGGATCGAACCCTGACCACGGTGCTTTGCCTAAGCAAGCGCTTTAATCCACTGAGCTATGTAGCCAATCTACTATATTTTATTCATTTTTAATTCCACAAAATAATAGTGCATCATATGCATATTTGAAAAGTCTATCATCTATGTGCAGTCTTAAATACATAATTTTGTAGTATTGCTCAGCATTTTATGCTTGAAGAAAACTTTTATTTTCATATAATTGGAAAGAACATATAGGTTGAAATGGAAGAAAACAGTACTAATGCTGACATTAAAATTATTCATTTTCCTTGGAATTTAACACTGATTTTTCAATAATTTTTCCAGTAGAATGTAATCCAATAGAGATATACAGATTGTCATTTTAAAATTCACATAGGTTGCTTAATTTAAAATACTTGGGGAGCATTCTGTCCAAAATTTGTCACCAATTTGTAGTGGAGTTCCTTGTTATAAATAGAACACATAGGATTTAAATTCCTTGACACATACAGTAGAATGTGTTGTGGTCAGTGTGCTGTGAATGAATACTTGCAGGTATAGAGGAAAGCCTCACATCTGTTTTCTCTTTTCAAAAATATTCAAATACACACTCTAATGATTAGAGTGTTTGAAACTGTAGTACACAGACATTTTTCATACATTTTAAGGAGGCTTTCTTCTCTATTTGAATCTTTTAAAAAACTTAATGAGAAAAATTAAAATAGCAATGAAACAATTTCAAAACAGCTTAGTAAGATAGTTACAATAATTAATTCATTGCATATTGTTGTCTTTGTAGTAGTTATTCATAGGACAAGATGCAGACATGATATCTCATCTAAAGAACATTAGTAAATCCTCTCTTTTTATTGAACTAAGAGAAAGTAGTTGTATATCTATCCTAAATATCTTGCATATACATATATTTTCCCTAAAAAATGGTCCTATATTTACATCCCGCTTTTGTCATGGTCTTAACCATCCAGCAGAAAAGTGCAACTATGAGGTATAAAAAGTAAAACCATGTTAATAAGCTGAACGTAAAAGGCTCAAATCAACAACTTTGGACAACTGCCAGTTGTGATGATGACCCACTACTATTATGGAAAATTGGACTATATTTGGCTATTCTGATTAATTCAACCACCTACAATATTTGTACTGGAATCAAGTATGAAAAAGTCCTTTAAAGACTTCTCCAAATCCAGCTTCTCTAACAGCAATGGAATACCCATCTCTGACAAAACAAAACAAAAAAGGGGGCTATTGAATCTTTTTTAATGACTTCTGAAATCATTTTTCCTCATCTCTGCTTGTCAACATAGATGCCAACTAAAAATTGTTAAACTATATAATTACCTAATTTGCTTACACTTCTATGTGATAAATTTTGAAAAATATTCTTTTATTAGTGTCTCTCATTGGTTCAAAAGGTTGAATCATAACACACTGTCTATAAATATACATATACCACTCATGTATTTGTATCATTTCCATGTCTCCTAGTACCCTTCCTTAAAACCACAGGCTATGATGTGTAATTAAAGAGTATTTCCATATTTTATTTCTTCTCATCCTGGCTTGTTTCCTATTGGAGACATGACCCCAAGTTGTTCCATTCTGCTCCTTCTCCAGGGGGTGTGTCTCTGGAAGCCTTGTTCTAGATTGTTATTCTTTTTCTGGTATCTCTGGAGGTGCAGAGTCTCCCTTCAGTCATGTCTGATGTCCCAGTGTGTTTAATTAAGGAATAAGTCACCCTTGAACATTCAGCAAGTAAAGGATTCAACCATGCATGCTGTGGCTGCAACACACATGAGCTGTGCCTAGACTTTGTACTTCTTCAGTAAGTGTTTGGCTATATGAGTATCCATTCAACTGTGCTCTTGGACATCAAAACTATAGACTCAAAGAATAACGGAAAAGGTGTTACTGGATGTTCTCCATTCTTCACACCCTCCCATAGCCAGTTGTCACATTTGAGGACAGGATGATATATATCTCTCTGGAATCAAAATATTTTAAAAGCTATTTTATTATTCTGCTCTTATTTCTTTGTTTGTTTGGGTTTTTGTGTATTTAGGACAGGTTCTGCAAGGTCTCACTAAACAGATTGGACTCACGGTGATTCTTGTTGTCAGCCTCCCAAGCACTGGGATTACAGGTGCGTACCACATACCCAGTCTGTCTCTGTCTCAGCGTGCCATGGGGGTGGGGCTGGCAGGGCATGCCAGAGATTAAACCCCTCTGAGCTATCTGCCCAGCCCAGCTTCTCTTATTTTCTGAAGCACAAATTGAAAATATTTGCCTAATAACACATGATGACTTTTTCCAATAATTGTACCTATTAAACATTAAATCGCTACTTAATATTGGTTCTTAGGCAAAATATTTCCAAATGTGAACTTTGGTTAGTTCTGGTTTATAATTCTAAAAAAAATCAGATTTCTCGATCTTATATAACATTCATGGCATTATATTTAGCAACTGCAGAAATTTAAGGAAGTAACATTTTTTCCATAAATCATACAAATGATCTTTTATGCTAGTGCATCAGGATTGCACTATTGAAACATTTTCCAGAGCAGGGATGCTGTATTTGGTACTTTGCTCTCTGTACTCCCATAGACAACATCTGTACCTGAAGCTGTTGTCATTTAAGACCAGGGGAAATCACAATTCCAGGCCCAGGACTGAAGGTAGTTCTGCTTATATTCAGGTAAATCTGTAGAGATACTTATGTATCATATCCTCTTAAATATGGCTTCTGTATGCCAGATGAGTAGATTTAAAACAATGTAGCTTATAACATTTTCAAATATCTACAGGAGTCTAATGCTCAGTTACACTATAGTGTCCTTCATCATTACTAGTCTATGGATAAACTGACTCCATTCTAACTCTTCTTAATATTTTAGTATTCTAAAAAACTAGAATAAATATGCCTCTGTAACATCAGTGGTTTTATCATTTAATTTTAAATATAAGTACTTGGAGATTTTGTGTTTTTCTTAATACTTTTATTGAGAAAAAAATAGTAATGAGACAGTTTCAAAACAGGTTAGTAGGATAGTTTCAATAATAAATACATTGCATATTGTTGTCTTAGTGATTGTTCATTGTGCAAGATGCAGACATGGTATTCTATCCACAAGCACTATTAGAATAAAGCTTTCTATTAATTGAATTAAGAGAATGTAGCTGTATATCTATCCTAACTATTTTGAATATACAAATACAAATGATCATTCACTAGTATCACCTTTTTTGGTTTAGTTTTGTCAGAGAAGGGTATTCCATTGTCATTTAAATATTGTAGGTGCATGACATCAGCAAAATATTTCAATATAGTCCAGTAGCCCATAATAGTAGTGGGTTTTCCTTAAGACTGGCAATGTCAGAAGTTGTTGACTTGAGTCATTTACTGCTCAGCCCATTAACATGGCTTTACTTTTTATACTTCTTTTTATACTTTTCTGCTGGATGGTTAAGACCAAGGTAAAACAAGACGTATGTAACAAGAATTGTAACTTTTGTATCTGACAAGATCAGTTAAATCCCCTCAGGATTTACCCTGAAACCCTGTACTGCAGTTTGTAGATCCTTTGTCAGTGTCAGCCATGAGGGTGAGCCACGACCATTGCTTATCCAATTTTCTCTCTGTGAAAGCCTGAGAGAATGTTTTCTCTCCATGTGACTCTCCTTAGGCACACTCTACATCATCGATTGCATTCCTCTATGGCTCCATAATCTCCTTGATCAGAAAATTTGGGACACAACAGAGTTACATGATGTTAGAATATAGATTCTCCTAAATCCTGAGTCTTCACTGACCTTCAAAGGCTAGGACCAAAATGCTGGCTGTCCTTGTATTCCTTCTTTTTTAAATAATTTTTGGTCTGTAAACTTAGGTTGTTAAAGATTTTGGTGTGCAGTTGTTTGTACGTGTCTTGATAGGACCAATAGAGTTATCCTCTAAATATTGTTTAGAATGTTAAGAAATAAAAGATAATACCATAAGTGTGGGAAATCAAAGAATGATATTAGAGAACAGACTGAAATAGTTAAAAAACAAAATTTTATATAAATTCTTAGAATTGCTGGATCAAGGAGGAAGAGGAATCAAATTGATCTTCAGGTTTAAAACAGGAAGAAGACTTTCTAAGAAGTGGTGAGAATTTGGATGAACTTCTCTAAGAAAGGAACATGGCTCAAATGATAGAATTCATCCACCATGCAACTATGCTGCCTAAATAGAACCACAAAGTTTTTAGTAGTGAATAGATGGGAATACTGATGATATAGAAACTGGTGGTGACAACTGGAAAAGCAGTGTCCTGAAAAGGATGAACATTACTGCATGATCAGAGAAAGGGGGTCTTATTCTTCAAAGATAATTCATATTTGTATAAAAATATTGGACTGAGTATTGAACAATGTGGCAAAAAATAAAAACAGATCGTACTGTTATTTTTATGATGATTTGTTCTTGAAGCTGAGCTGGGCTCTACTAACGTGTCATTTTGTTTGTTTCTGTTTCCCAACCTCCTTCACTTTCTTTTCTTCTCCTCTCCTCCCTCGTTTTCATTTCTTCTGCTGTCTTGCTTTTCAACTCTGATGCTCCTCCTGTCTTTTTAATGCTTCACACATTCCACTTGCTCCTTCCTGCACCAACACCACAGATGTAGATCGTGCTTTACTGAAGCATGTATACTTTCATAATCACAATGCACACCCACCCATACACGAATATTTACAATTATGAGTATATGGTCTTTAGTATCTGTTTTATAATACTATCATATTATACATACTATTAAGCAAGATTCTTTCTTCTCCAACTGTGATTGTGGAAATTTCTCCTAGAGTGCTTATTATGTAACTGTACTTATTTACATGGCTGTTTCATTTAACAGATTTAATATTCTATCAAGCCATGTCTCGTTTTAATATTTATTTTTATAATTTTTACTTTTTACTTTGTTATTAAAATACCACAAAATTATCATGTACAAATATTCTTAGAAACTAACTCTTTAATTTCCTTGCCATATTCCAAAGCATTTTATATCTGTGCTGAAAGGTACATGTATTTTCACATTACATAGAGATTGATAAATTATATTTCAAAAACTAATAAATTCGAAATGCCAGAAAATGTTCTTAAATATTTTTATTTGAACTATCTTTAAAGCTTTGTCACACTTAAACTGTGATGCTTATCAAAGGATATTGTTTTAATTCATCTATTTCTCAATGGATTTAGTATTCTACTATATGCATTTTCATCACTACCTGTACATTTTAAATTGCTTCTCTATAACCTTGGGTTGTATTAATTAATTTCTTCAGGTTTATTCTCTTCAGGTGTCATCTATACTTCCCTTTTCTAAAATGTAAATCATTTATCTAAATTAATTTTATGTAATGATTTATGTCACTGTTCCACATTGCTAAATTACTTGAAAGTCATCAAACATGTTAATTTTAGAAGCCTTTGAAATTGAAAATATTCTGCTATACCTATAAGTAGAAAATCATGTATATTTTGTTACCTTGTGACATACAGAAAGTAAGCTTTCGTTTCACTTTATACTAATTCATTCGTATTTTGATTTTTGAGAAACAAGTTGATTAAAAGTTAGTTTTATGAGATTCAATTTTCTTCCATGAAAAATTATTGTTCTGCATGTCTCTGACTACTTATTTCTCTTGTACATAGCCTGCAAGATCACTACAGTTATGAACATGTTTGCCATTTTCTTCACTATATCTTTCTGGTATATAATGAAAGATAATAGCGATAAAGGGGATGTAAAACAATTTATCTTAAATTTTCATGGACTCATTAGTAAAAATTATGTTTGTAGATCATTTCGTACTGAGCAGAGACACAAGGACACACATGGAACAAACGAACAATGTGACTGAGTTTGTGCTCTTGGGGCTCACTCAGAGTCTCCAGGGTCAGAAAATATTATTTGCTGTGTTCTTGCTAATCTACATGGTGACAATGGTAGGCAACCTACTCATTGTCCTGACTGTGGTGCTGAGCCCTGCCTTGGACGTCCCGATGTACTTCTTTCTTGGTTACTTATCACTTATGGATGCTGTTTATTCTAACACAATTACCCCGAAGATGATGATAGACTTACTCCATGTGAATAAAACAATTTCCTTCAAAGCTTGTATGACACAGCTTTTTGTAGAACACTTATTTGGTGGTGCTGAGATTTTGCTCCTGGTTGCCATGGCCTATGACCGCTATGTGGCCATTTGCAAGCCCCTGCATTATCTGACCATCATGAACCAACGTAGGTGTGTTCTACTATTGATATTGGCCTGGGCTGGGGGATTTTTGCATGCTTTACTGCACATCCTTTCTGTCTACAACCTTCCTTTCTGTGGCCCCAATGTGATTGACCACTTTGTCTGTGACATGTACCCCTTATTAAAGCTCGCCTGCACAGATACCTACTTTATTGGCCTCACAGTGGTGGCAAACGATGGTGTCATCTGTGTGGCCATCTTTACAACCTTGCTTATCTCTTATGGGGTCATTCTTCACTCCCTGAAGAACCTGAGTCAGGAAGGGAAGCTCAAGGCTTTGTCCACCTGTGGCTCCCACATCACAGTCGTTATTTTCTTCTTTGTCCCTTGCATTTTTCTGTATGTGAGACCTCCCTCTACCTTGCCCATTGATAAATCCTTGGCTGTCTTTTACACTGTAATTACACCTTTGTTGAACCCCCTCATCTATACTTTGAGAAACGCAGAGATGAAAAATGCCATGAAGAAACTTTGGACTGGAAATGGAAAATAAAGTGACAGAGAATCATATCACACTTTGCGTGATGAGATTTTCTTCTTCAAAAGTATTCAGAACTAATTATTTCTTTAAGCTAAACATTTTTCATGTTTAATAATGGCTTAATATAAAATATATAAAACTTACAATGTTAATGCTGTGACAATATATTTGGAAAACATTTTAGTATGAAATTGTTTTGTCAGGATTGTATTTGTATCACAATATTGTACATTAAATTTCTTAAAGAATTCTTCATGATGCATATACAAGTGTTCCATTCTTCTTAGAATAACTAATTCTTATGATTTGACTCTACTTTCCTCCAAAAGCCTCCTGCAGTCATGGGGACGCTTGTGAAGTTTGTGATTAATTCATGATCAAATGCTGGAGTATGGATCTGAGTGCTGCTGGGATTGTGGGTGTGAGTGCTACACCAATTGATAGCCTCAGCGTAATAGAATGAAGGGATAAAGGCTTGCTTTCTGTGCTGCTGCCTTTGTTCTTCTCTTTTCATTCTTGCAGTTTTGTTGTGTGCTACCAACATGAACTGCTGCCCTTTGCCATGTGCCACTCTGCCTGGGAACCATCTGATTATGGACTGGATCCTCCACAAACTGCAAGCTAAATAAGCCTTCAATTCCTCAGTTTTGGTTGTTGGGTATTTTTCCTGGAAACAAGAGAAAATCAACCAAAGTTCAAAATAATTTGTAAACAATAAAAAGGAAATAATTTTTAAACATCCAGTTTCTTTTATCACAGATTAAAAATATTAGTATAACATTCATATGGAAAATTATATATATGACACTTTCCATAAATTTTTCTTAATGATTCATCATTTTTTCCTTGAGTTCCACCTACACAGTATAAAGTTCTCACAAAGTACTTTAATAAATATATTGAGGCATAAGATAATCACTATTTTGAATGGAAGCCGTGGCTTGCTTTCTAACATAATAGTTTACATTCAGTCTTTAGGAATAGAAATATCCACTCAGGGTTTGTGGTCTGCAGGGGGACTGGCTGCTGCTGCTTCCCAAAAGCCTGAGCTGTTGGGGCCTGGGAGATGGCTCAGTAGAATTAGCCCTTCCCTGGCAAGCACAAGAGCCTGAGTTCAATATCCGGTTCAAAAAAAAAAAAAAAAAAAAAAAAAAGCCTGAGCGAACTGCTGCACTAGGCTGCGGGCGGTGCGGCTGGTGGCTGGTGGCACCTGGAGTGGCTCCACACACAGAAGTCGTGCATCCAGGAGGAGCTGAGCCATGGGGGCTTGGTCAGAGGTGGAACACGGCCAGCAGGGCCCACTCCAACCCCCCAAATTGGATGCCTTTCTGGCGCTGCTGAGCAAGGAGATGGTTGGCCTCCGCCAGTTGCACATAATTTTAATCATATTGCTTAGATATTGACCATTCTAAAGGAATGATACTTCATTTTTAATAAAATCATAAAAAGTTAAATGCACAGGAAAAGTTAATATATAATGATGCTATGCAGGAATATAAGTAAATGTCACTCTTCTTTCCAAGAGGAAGTTATCTGCATGCCTCAGGAGCAGAAGCTTTGTCTTGTGTATTGTTTTCATACAAATAAAGATGGTCCTATAGTCTTCCTATCCTTACTCTTTAGTTTAAAATATCTGATAGTGGCTCTGCTGCTTTTCATAATGTTCTTCAATATATGCTTAAGTGTTTATGTTCTAAAAGGGTCCAGGCTCTACATTTCATATAACAATTTCGCGTGAGCCTTAATCCTTTAACTACAAAAATACAACACAGACCCAGATAGTAGATAGCTGGCAGAAAAGATTTAGACAACATATGCTAT